GGCCAGTGAGAGAGTGCAGCCACCTCACCAGAAGGAGATCAGAGAGAAAAAGCAATTAATGTATCACCAAAACCACAGCAGGATATGAGGAGGGAAGTGAGAAGAAAGAGGTATAACAATGATTCTAATAGATCCTGAAGTAATGAAATGCTTCATAAATACTTTGCCTAGACAGAAAGTCAAAATGACAAAGTCTGCCTGTAAATTCTATTATCAAGGCAATTCCTCATGATGACTATAAATAAAAGAAGTACAACTAGAACAATAGACCTGAAGCTCCCCTAGGTGACACCTCTGAGTTCATTTACACACAGCTGTAGTGAGAGCAAAGTGAATAAAAGCCAACAAGTTTGATGGCAGTGATTTTATAGGCATCCTTTCCATCCATCCTGGACAAATGTAAATGCATAAAGAAGGTACAGGGTAGAAAATTAGACCATTTCAGTTAAAGGTCACCACAAAATCCTAGAAATCTGTAAGGTATTCCATTCTCCCATTCTTTATTTGCTATTGCAGACTTTAAAAATAGGTATTTATGGAAGCTGATAAAGCATCTTGTGTACAGTATTACATAAACAGCAATAGACTGTAAATGGGAAAAGTAATGTTCTGGAGCATTCAGCATAAGTTACACTTTTGATACACTAATTTTATCATCGGAAAGATTCTTAAAAATGTGTCAGATATTTGTTACACAAGGTTTTATTGTTAAACTGGTACTTGCAAAGCCTGTTTTGATTCTTTAGTAATGCTTAAAATATTCCCATTTTAAAAAGACTGCTAGCCTTTTCCAACCCTGACATTTGCGATTTTCAAAGTGACTTTTTACTTTTCTCATTTTATAGCAGGCAGTAAATACAGAGGTGTTTTCTTCAGTGCTACCTGTAGTCATTGGGGAAATTTCAGAAATTACTGGGTACTTGCAGGTTTCCCTCTGAGCTGAGCAGAGATGTGCAGTGTTGTTTCATAGTGCAGTCTGGGAATAAACTTTCCATCTTCCTAATTTACTTGTCCCTTTTGAAACTAAAATTTGCAGTGTAAGGGCTTACTGACCCACAGCTCCAGCCTGAAAGCTAAGATGGTGGGAGGGAGCAAGAGCATCTTTCCCTCATCTACACAGCAAGGACTTTCTCTCCATATGTAGGTGTTAGCAGTTTTCTGTGATACCAGACTGGATTCCTGCAGATGGCTTTACACAGAGCTGTCCTTGAAAATCAATAGAAAATTCTGGCTAGCCATATTTCCCACAAACAGAGTGGGAAACAAATCTTTCTTCATACAGTAGACTAATAGTTAAATTTGTTGTCCTGTTTGTTAGTTGCAACCTAATGAAGTAGACCTATCCAGTTAATCCACATGAAAGCGCATATATCCAAGATATAGTCTCTCTTCACACTTACCTAAGTCCCTGTCTGGCAAGTTCAGCCAGAGTGATTCAGACCAACATTCCCAAATTAAATTAGAAGTCTATGGATTTAAAATGGATAGTCTGAAGCTCAGGAACTGTGGGCCTTTGACTTTGAAATGCACTTTTATCTTTGTCCTGATGTAGCATAAGCTTGTTGATATGCAAGTCCCAGCACAGATTTATCTATTTACTCAGGTTGTTTCTTAAGGGCTGATTTCAGGGAAATCAGAGGATTTCATAGCAAGAGAGTTTTATCGATATTAATTGAGCTGGATAGAATTGGTGTGTGTAAGGACATGTAGATATTTTGTAGCATTTTGTCCTAGAGGGCACCCTAAGTGCATTTTTTGCAGTTAAGAAATAAGTAATGGTTATTTATCCAGGACCACATAGTCATGTTGTTTATCAAAGGAGATATTCAGTTGACTTTTTGTTCACTCTTTGGGAGCATCTCCATAGCCATCAGAGCTCCAAAATTCATTACTGATTTCACAAGAGCGGGTACCCAGGAACTCTCCACTCTGAGGTATGTGCCCTTTCTTTAATGAGGGGAAAACAGCTGCTTTTGGCTACCGTGTCATTACATGGACAGCATGGGTCTATGGCAAAGAAATCATTTGTGAGATGAGCTCCCCTGAGGAGAGGCTAGACACTTTCTCTTCTGGAGCACGCTTTTCTAGTCTCTCTCCTTAACAATTGGCACAAAAAACACTTCATCTGAGAGTTTTATAAAAGCAATCAGTTACTTACTTAAAAATGTAGAAAGAATTACTCTTAGCTTATTAACAGCTCTGCTAGCCAGAGATGAAAAGTGCTGAATGTCTGAATAAATTGAGTCTATTCATCGCTTCATGGAGTCTATAATCCTTAGAGTGTAAAAAATTTACAAGACAGCCCCTGAATGCTGAATTTTTCATTGATTTGGATCCCACACTTATTTGAGAGACATTTGAAATCATAACCAGGCAGACACTTCTCTCCTGACTAAATGTCTGAAGAGAAATTCTGGTTATTTTAAAAGAATGTAAAATCTCATAAGCCTGTAAAATATGCTCAAGATAACTGTGACCTGAGAAAAGGAATGAGAGGAAGTTTCATGACTAGTAATGGAAGCTTTCAAATTTCTAGGGCTCCTTGGGGTCAAGGGGTATCTATGCTGGTCAGAAAGGAGCAGGGGAGAGTAACCCCATATGATCATAGGCTTGTGTAGAAGGTATGCTAGTTTCTAACTATCATAGAATCCTAAATTTCATGAGTTAATCCTATTTAATTTTGATGGATCTACTAGTGCAAGGAATAGCTGATCAATCGGACCTTTATGAAGTGCCATATGTACTGACATCGATCCATTAATGTTCATTTCCTAGCAGTTGCAGTAAGTGCAAGTAATCAAAAATGTTAAAATGCAGTTGCTTTGTTTCTTAATAGATAGTGACTTAAGAGCTTAAATACAAGAAAGAGGGTGAAAATGATGTTGTAGATGACACGTTTTAAATTAAAACCTATGAGAAAAGTTTGCTTTGCTAAGAGAAAAGGAGAAAGTGTATTGAATATATTAGGAAGATTAAAATCCCTGTTTTGACTGAACAAGCCTGCTAGATGATGAGATAACTCCAAATCCTTGTTGTGAGCAAACAATTCAGTGTCTACTACAGAGGGCTACCTATGCATGTTTGGCATGCACACTGTTTATATATAGTAGGTGGCTTCTGTAAATCTTCAAAGGAAAGCATCTGTGTGAGCAGAATAGAAAGGACTATAGGCAATTTATCAAATAGCTGGTATATATTTTAGCTGACTTCAGACAGGAACACATGAGCTTTCTGCTTGTTTCCAAGGCAGAATAAAATTGTATAATTTTAGTGGCATTGATCCTTGCAGAATAGCTTTAAATCTCCCCAATAATTTAGCTGGAGAGTCTTCACAACTAGACAGTAATTTGACTTTTCTCTCTTGATAGGAAAAAGAGGAGAGAGGAGCCGTGTTTGAAAAAACAAAACTGGGGTCTTAGCAGGCCAGATTTCTAAGCTTCAGTCTTTGCTACCCCAAACAAGCCTCCTTTCAAACCATTTGCTACAATACATTGGCCTTTCTCATTACAGCTGACCAGAACTTTTCCAGTAGAAAATTTTCTGTTGAAAGAGGTCATTTTGATGAAATAGAAATATTTAATGGGAATATGTCTGTTGTGGAGAAAAAAAAAAAACCCAACCATGAGTTCTAAAGAAATACTGGAACAGAACTTCCATTTTAAGCTGATTGATTTAATCTGAAGTAAAAATAATGATACACTGTCCTACACTGTATAAAATGTTTAAAAGGAAAACAGAATAAAACACTTTTGATGCCATCAAAATATTTCAATCAACTGCCAAGTGATTTTTAGGTTGTGTTACATGGGAGACTGAAAATTGTTCACTTTTCCTCCTTTTCAGGAAGGAAAAATATTCAACATCAGGTAAGTAAACATTGTGTACAAGCCAGCACCAACTCCTGTGCTGTTCTTGACCTGATCCTCGTCTTGTCTTATGGCAATTCATATCTCTACAAAAAAATGCAGTCCTGTGTAGTGCCCCAAGGATGGGGCTACCAGCTGATAAAAGAACCATATGTTTAGAAACTTGGGAAGACAGCAGGGCTGAGTGCATGAGCTGTTCCTGAGGGCAGAAGTATTGGATCTGTGGGTTGGGGCAGGATTGGGATATATAGGAGAGAAGCCAGAGCCATGCCGTTGCCTTCTTCCCCATGATCTGGGGAATATCAAAGGCCCTGCAGTCCCAGTGCCCTCTTTTCCTAACCTCTCCTAAAGCCTTGTGACATCCCAGGTGTCTTCTCATGAGCGCCAGACCTCTACTGGTTCCTACCTACTTGTACCTGGTGCTGCAGGGATTGGAGAGGCAGCAGTTAAGGCCATGGCTGGGCATCAGGATCTGGTGACCCACTCTTCAGTCTCACCAAAGCTTAGAATGTCACAGGAGGCAGAGCAGCTCTGTGTGACAGACATGCATGAGCATCAGCAGAAAGACGTGCTGTCTTAGTAAGTGCCAGGTTGGAGGGGATGAAGGCTACAGGGTGTTAAATGTTGGGAAAGACCAATGAGAGCATTTGGAAATGCATCCCCTGTGAGAGCCAGTGGAGAAAACCTTTCACTTAACCACTGGAATCATTTGCTGACATGCTGCAGGTTCATTGTGTCAAGGGCAGAGACGAGGGTTTAATTATTAAAGTGTGGATGATGGGAATTTATTCCCCCTTTACGTGCACATCTGGAAGCCCCTCCAGGCCCAGTCCTGGCTGAGCTGCCCTAGGCTGGCTTTGCAGTGTCTTGGGTGAGCCTCATACCCAAAGGCAGAGGACAGGCAGCCCCTCTGCCCCTTGCTCCCTCATTGGGAAACATGACCTGCAGGGAAAGTGGGCATCAGCAAATCTGGCCAGGGTCTTCCTTAATGAACGTGCCTCATGAATAAATGCACAGCACAGGCAAATAGCTAGCTGCGTGACAGTAAAACAAGCTCAAATATTGACAGAGGGAGAAGACACCCCTGAGGCAGTGTTCACTGCAAACTCTTCTCTGAATGAGCAATAGTTAAATGTTTGTCCTTGCCTCTTCTTTCAAAAGTAGGGCAAATATCTATAGAGTTCCCAGTGGGGAGGTAATCTAACTTTAACTTTTCTACAGTCAAGTAAAACACCCGAGACCTGTGTTAGGGATGCAAGCAGGTCGTCTGAATTATGATATTCAATCTGGTATTATTTTAATCTGACATGCCTCTCACGTGCTTCATTTAGATTCATCTTGACCTGAAAACTGTAATTTCAATGCCTTTATCCTTACAGGTGATTTATCTTGTTGCAGTATTTTCTTCTCCTTCAGTATAAATATTTATTTTAGTAGCGAAACCCTACCCGTGTAGCAGACCGGCACATTTCATTGTCTCGGATCTCCCGAGCACGGTTCTGGGTCCCCTTCGAGCAGCAGCAATCTCTTGCTTTTGCTCTCCCTCTTGCTAATTGTGGCGAGAAGATACCGAATTAAGACCCGCGGGAGGTGAGAGGAAACACCTCTCCTGCAGCCGCAGACTGCTCCGGATGAGGCTTTCTTACTCGTTTACAAGACAATAGCCGAAGAAATTAAAGAGAGGGGGGGAAAATGACTGATCCTACCGTATGAGATAATGGATGAGCCCGGGATGACCTGTTTTTTTCCTTGCGGTGGAGCGGTGCTGAAGACAGAGGGCACCAGCGCCCAGCCCACAGCCTTCGCCCCGCCGCCAGCGCGCCAGCTCGGGGCGGCCGGAGAGCCGCCGGTGCCGGCTGCTCCGGGCGGGCACGGAGCCACCGCCTTGCCCGGCCAGGTACGGCCCCGGGGGGACCTTCCAAGTAGGCCGCGGGGCTCAGCGGTGGGGTTGCCTCTGGGGCGGGCGAGCAGGCAGAAGGCGCTCGGGAGAGGGGCTTCGGAGCTGCCCGGGGAGCAGACTTCAGGCAGCTGTGCCTGCGGGCGTGTGTGCACACGCAGCCAGGACGGCGGCTCTCTTCGGAGCATCGCCTTCCCCGTGACCGTCTCCAGCCCTCCGCGTCGCTCGCCGGGCAGCACTCCCGCGGCCCCGGCTCCAGCCCGCCTGCCCGCCACAGGGTCGGGGGAGCGGCGGCCAGCCCGGGATGGTGCTTGCCGCGGACGCGGTCGGTGTCTCCGGGTGCGTGTGTGTGTGTGCATGCGGTGGGACCGCGGCCGCAGCGCCGGGAGAAGGGCAGAAGTTTGGGGGAAGCGCCCAGTGGTGCTGGCGGGCTGCCGAGCCGGCGGTGGCGGGGCCGGTGCAGGGACACGGGGGCACCGAGACAGAGGAGTGCCGGGACAGCGGGACAGGGGCTGGAGGGGCAAGAGGCAGCACGGGAAAAGCCGGCGGGGCTGGGGCGGGCTGCCGGGCGCTGTCCCGGGTGCTGACAGCGCCGTGGTGCAACAGGGACTCGGCGCGGCCACGCTACCAGCTCCCCGGGCGGCGGCAGCGGCGGTGGTAGCGGCAGCGGCTCCCGCGCCGCCCACCCTGTTTCCACCGCGGCGTTTCAAGCCTGCAAACCCAGCCACCGGGGTGACCGCCGGTGACCGCTCGGAGCCTGCCTGCGAAAGGCAGGCGTGCCGGTAAGGCACATCAGGACTCTGCCCACCGTTGCCTTAGTAACTAGTATGTATTTAAACCCGCTTGTATGTGTGTGTGCCTGGCAGAATTACAGTTTTGCCCCCTACACGCGGAAAAGTTAATCTGAACTGTAAAGTAATTCCTTTCTTCCTCCCCGCGCTGACCTTTAAATGACATTTCCCGTCGCCGGCGGGGCAGATTGCTCGCTCTGTCTTTTCACCCCTTTCATTGCCGAGCAAGGAAATCCCTGAGGTGCGGAAGATGACTTCAGGTAGTCAGAACGTGAGAAGTACTTGTCACCCCATTTCCCGGGCAGGGGCCGCCGGGGCCGGGTTAGGACGTTTGTCCGATGAGCGAACTCCCTTGGGAAACTTTCACACCTTCCCGGGCGGGAGGGAATGTGTGTATGCCGGCGGAAAGGTGCGGGGAACACCCGCCTCGGCTTGAAAGGCGTGGTCAGATAAGGTTAACATATACGACTATGTCAAGGCAAATAAAGACATATGTTAAAAACTTCATTTCGAGAGGTTTACCCCTCAAATTGCCCTCGGTGTTTGCGAAAGCAGTCATACCCAAGCTCTATGGGGTTGCTTTATCGAGCTCTGTTTTTACATGGCTTTCCCGATCAGCCTGCTTTAAACCCCCGTTTCTATGCCAGCAGGTTAAAAGTCAGTAGGATGGCGGCTGCCTTGGCACCTTCGAGAGCGATGCTGTAGGACTTCGCTGTGATGTTATTTGGAGCAACTCGGGCGCTGGTGGGGGGAAGCGCATGCCATTTCCTACATGTCCTTAAAGCATGTGCAGGCAAGAGGAGCCCGTGAAATTCATAACCTGGGTTTGGATGACATCGTGCAACACCATGATTGGCGTGCTGCTGGTCTTTTTCCCTGCTCTGTTCCTGGAGATGGACGTGCTGCCCAGGAGCGTCGAGCGGAAAGTGCTTCTCTCTGCAGCCTCCTCGCAGCGGTCAGTAGCTCGGATGGACGGGGATGTCATCATCGGGGCCCTCTTCTCTGTCCATCACCAGCCGCCGGCTGAGAAAGTGCCCGAGAGGAAGTGCGGGGAAATCCGGGAGCAGTACGGCATCCAGAGAGTAGAAGCCATGTTTCACACTTTGGATAAAATTAACGCTGACCCCGTCCTGCTGCCTAACATTACCCTGGGCAGCGAGATCCGAGACTCCTGCTGGCACTCCTCGGTGGCCCTGGAGCAGAGCATAGAGTTTATACGGGACTCCCTCATCTCCATCAGAGACGATCGGGACGGAGGCACCCGCTGCGTTTCCGACTCGCAGCCCCAGCCCCAGGGCAGAGTGAAAAAGCCCATCGCGGGGGTCATCGGCCCCGGCTCTAGCTCGGTCGCTATCCAAGTCCAAAACCTGCTCCAGCTCTTCGACATCCCCCAGATCGCTTACTCTGCCACCAGCATCGACCTGAGCGACAAAACGCTGTATAAATACTTCCTCAGGGTGGTCCCGTCCGACACGCTGCAAGCCAGGGCCATGCTCGACATCGTCAAGCGTTACAACTGGACCTACGTCTCCGCCGTCCATACGGAAGGTAGGTACGGGGTAGCCCGCACCTTCCTCCGGGAGCCCTCTTCCGGCCGGCCCTGGGGCGCTACGTCCTCCGCGGGGGCTCGAGGGTCACCGCCGGGAGACCTGGGAGAGCCCGGGTGCTGCCACTTAAGGGGAAAGGGGAGGAGTGCTGAGCGGACGGGGCGGACGGATTGACATAGTTTTCTCCGTAGCGAAGGCGTCCCCAGGCTCCGGGCACCGCGGCTGCAGGCAGCGATGGTGGTGGGTCAACAGCGCAGGAAAGCCTGCAAGAACTCGGGTGTCTGCGGGCGTCTTGCCCCCCTTTCTCATTCAGATACGGAGCGGTTTGTGCATGTCTCAATAAAAGCTAAGGGATGGCAGCTGGCAGCTGATCGGCTGAGCCGCGGCCGCCCCGGGAAGTTGGGCAAAGCGGAGTTAGGGCTCGGAAGGGACTCCGGATTAGCTGCGGACTGGGCGGCGTGTGAACAGGCTTTCTGGGACTGCGAGCACAGGAAAAGAAACCGGAGAATCCCCCTGCAGTCCAGGTAGCCCCAAAGCCAGGTCCCGCGGGGAGGAAAAGGCAGTGTCCAGTTTGGCAGCGGGTCCGGCCAAGCAGGCTCTTATGCAGCTTCAACAATAGTGAAAAACAGTGCTCTGTAAGTTCTGTTAGTAGTCAACAGGTTTTATCGATTTTAAATATCGAAAGACAAATATCACTAGTAAGGGTATTTTTAAAAAAGGGAATGCTGGTTTATAACCAGGCTAGGTGGACCAGCAAAAATGACAGACAGAAATAATTGTATTTGGTAGGAAGCAAAGTCTTGCGGTGTGTTATTGTGACATTCGTATGGTCCAGTTACGGTCCTCAAAATGGGAATTTTAAGCACAAAATTGCAAACTGACCGCATTATTGCTATAGTTTTGCAGCTGTTCTGTTCATCTGACTGTGTCTTTTACAAGGATTTGATTTATGATTCCCTCTGGTTCCTGAGCTGACTCCACACCTTTCATTCTCACAGAAATGACTAAGTAAAAAGAGTGAAGAACATACATATTGATGAATAAATAAACGAATCTCCAGGAAGAGATGCATACGCAATATTTAAAGATGAATTGGGTTAAACTGGACCCCTAAACCAGAAGTGCTGCAATGTGGGGTGGGGACGAGGGGAGAGTAAGAGCAGGAAGGAATGAGCTGACATTTGCAGTTCATTTATGCCCTATTCAGATGAGAAAACAAACTGCTAACAAGATTTGAACACGAGCTATTAAGATTCTCTATTGCTGGCAGATAGATTTAGATTTTGTGGAAGGCCAGGGTGAAAAATAAACATGAAAGGAGCTAATTCCTTGATGCAAATCACCATCTCTCCCTTTGAGGCACTTCGGGGAGCTCTGCTATCTCTCAGTGCCTGAGGAGCTGCCTCCAGGGACCTGCACCCTCCGTCTCTACCTCTGTCGATGTAAATTAGTAGGACTTACCTCTTTTGGAAGAGACAACAGTTTATGAAGGTTATTTATTCATTCATTTTAAAAAGATCATCATAATTTGTAATTCCAGTCGTCGAATATGAGAAATTTTGATTAAATATCCATTTTTATGAGTACGTTACTGGCTGATGAAAAGTGCTTGTTGCAAGATATTTTTATAGACTTCGAGGTAATACTTTTGAAAAGAGTGCATCAATTCTATCCTACAAGGCAACAGTCTCCTTTTAGGAAACAGCACAAGGATTTTGCAGATGGCGCACTCGAGATTCATATTTGCTTTTCAAAATTATTATAAATCCATATCTGCCATGCCTTTATTGTTGGATTCAAGCTACAGATTCCACTGGAAGTGTGTATGAAGCTTCAACTTCTGTGTTTCTTTCCAGAAAGACAAGTTATTAACCCCATTCCTATTGCTATTGGGTGTATTCAAAAGACTTTTCATTATTATTTTTTCTTTTTCTGTTAGTATTCATGAAAAGTGTTAAATTTCTGTTTTTTTTTCAAATCCCATGCATTCACTGTGAGAGATCTGCTTGCTGGTTTCCTAAAGGTGAGATCGTTTTTCAGAGACAACACAAAACCACTCTGAATAATAAGTTGTCATGAGCAGGAGCTGCTCCATCCATGCTATGTTTGGAAATATGGGGATAAAGTGTAGTTAGAAACGTTCCTCCTCCACACTTACTCATCGGCCTCTACTCTGTCTTTATGGTGGGCTGCAAAATGCTCTGGAAGGAATTCTAGGGTTGGAAAATCACTCCAGCAAGGACTGCGAGAAAGGGGAGTGTTTCTAGGAAATGCACAGCTTGACATTCAGAGGAAGTTAATTGTCTCACTTTCTGAGTACCCCAGATCCAGCCTGGCCACCTCTTGAGAACAGAAAAGGTGTTTAGGTCCTCCCCAACCTTTCGTTCTCATGGGCGTGGACAATTCTCAGCTCCCGCAGTCACCCAGCCACAAGGGGATGCAACGAGACCACTGGGCTGACTGACCTGCTGTGCAGCAGGTGTGCTCCTCAGGTGCAGCAAGTGTGCTCCTCGGTCTACACTGACCCAAGGCAGAGGCACAGAAAGAGCCTAGCAGTGATGAGCCCTTTGTCAGACAGTCTGAACCATCCAGGTCCTCTGTTTACCCTTCCTCATCTCCTATACTCTAACTGGAATTATTTGAATGCCCTGAACAATACCAGTCTTATATACTTAATTATACCTTTAATGAAAATCAGAAATAAATACCACAGAATCCAGTGCCCATGTTTCTTACCGTGAGGCTTACACATGCTGTAAGAATGAAGATAATAGTCACTCATGTAGCATGGTGTCTTTAAGTAGTCCCCAATATCCTACTTTGCATTTGATATGGAAGTTTATTCTTCATGGGTTAGTATTGGTGCTAATTAGTGCTGACGACACTTGACTATATACTATCTCATATATACAATCTACACACTAGTACATGAAGTTGCATGTAGGTATGCCATAACTGCACATTTGCACAGTTGTTTATTAAGAGGTATAAACATTACACTTGAGTAGAAACTTCTCAGCTAGTAAGATCTGTTTCCAAAGGCCCACATAGCACATTTCTCCTTTTAGGTTAAAATTGACACATAAAACCCCTCATTAAAGAAAATGAAAGGCGGGTTACTATGTTTGGTTATTTCATTCTGTATCTCAATTAGGCATAGCTGCACATCACAAGAGTGCATTTTTCTTCCAGAGTGGGCAGCAGTCATTAAATGATGTGAGAAATCTGTGCATGGGACTGTATAGTAGCTGCAAGGCATTTCCAGGGCTATTGTTTTTTTTTAAGGATTCTTTGAAGGTAGTTCAGAGTTGGAGTTCATGGTGTGTGTACATCTCAGCTCTTAGGATGGGAAGTCATTCTTACCTGGAAACCCACATAAGCAGATGCCTAACTCTGAGCCAAGGCTTCCTATGGAAATCACAGGCATCAAAAGCTCATGTGTTAAGTTGGGCAGAATCCTGAGTGTGAGAAGGGCAGAAGGAGTTACACTCACTAAGGTTTACTTTCCAAGTGAAATAGTCTGGTCTTCAGTGATTACCTCAGAGTCAAGTATTATTCTCAATTTACCAGCTAGACACTGGTTATTTGGTGAAACTGTGAAGAATTACAGGGAACACTTTATTCCTTGCCTGGAGGAGAGCCCCTGGGCTGCCTCAGGACAAGGCAAGAGGTGGCAGACATTACCTCTGCTGTTTTGATGCTGAAGGCACAGAAGGTGATCAGGTCATCTCCAGAAAATGCAGAGTGGTTGTAGGATTGCTGTAGGTTACACCAACTTCCAAAACTCACAAAACACTGACACCCTGGCTAGTAATCAGCACCGAGTCTGCAAGTCCCTCTTTTAGCTGTTCCTCTTATACATGAAGCTTGAGGGATGATGGTGTAAGAAGCCTTTTTATCACTTCATCTCCCAAATATATAAGTTCTGAATAAGAAAATATAAATACTTAATGCTTGTGCCTGGCTTTTAATTAAAATTGTTGCATATGTGTTAACCTTATGAAATGTATGTGAGATTTTTTTGATTCTGTGAAAAAATCTGAATGTGCAGAATAGATCCACTTGAGTACTGTTTGCAATTTATGGACCATTCTTATGTGTTAGTGTACACATACCCCTTTATGAACAGATTTCCATTCCAACAGATTAACATGTGGATTTTGTAGAAGCAACTTTGGAAATGGAATGATTAAGTTAATTGCACCAAATTTTGATTCTTTATGGATTAATTTTAAGGAGCACTAAGATGTTTCTGTTCTTGATCAATTTTGTCAGATTTGTATTGCCAGGCTGTTTCTTATTCTTGAGTACAAGGCTTAAAATTAACTATGATGAAGCAGATGGCACAGCTGTAAAGACTTCCAGATCAAAGTAGATAGTAGGTAGATTATCTTCACAATGATTTTTGGTAATGTGCTGTACACTCTCCACTCTAGTAACATACAGAAAACTCATAAACATGGTTATATATGTTGGAAGGAGGATGGAAGTGAGTGAATCTTGCACTTTATTGCAGATTTCACAGGAAATAAATTCTTTCAGTAGAACTCACTAAAATAGCTTTATAGAAGATAATACTTCTGTTCAAAGATAAATGGGGCAATATCCATCAAATAGCTCAAAGGAATAATTTTCATGCAATTGTGTTTAATTTCTCACGAGGTGTTCCTACAGCTGTTTCTAACAATGTTATATTATTAATTCCACAGTGTCATTTGATGATTGATATTTTCTGATAATATTATGGTCAGGCAATAGGGAACAGCAAGACCAGCTCATGTGTTTGACATTTCAGTGGTTACAAATATTTCTGTAGGTACCAACAGTTACAGAAATTCTCTTAAAGGTTAACCTCATGAAGTGTTGTGAACTGTGCCTGAAATGTATGTTCACAAATGCAAATTCCAATCAATTTTTTCCTCTATTTAACTAGCTTCACTAACGGTCCTTTTTCCATCCTTTGTGGTAGGGAAAAAAGGGAGAGACATATGTCCCATGGAT